GAGATTATGAGAAGATTAACTTTTGCAGAAGATTAACTTTTGCAAATTAGTCTCAGAAGCAGAATCGTGGTACCGACGGGAAGGATTGAAGAACTTATGTTAGCAACTTGATTTCTTGAATAACTTATGTTAAAACAGATAAAACTGAGAAGGTATAGTGAAGAAGAACCGAAGAATAATACTGTTTCCCAAGAAATCTCTGAAGCAGAATCGTGAATACAAAAACGTATAGATGGTATAGTGGTATATATTTCGGTATGCATTTATTTGGTGCAGTTTTTTGGGATTTAATCACTGGAAATTAATCAATTACCAATTACAAAAAACAAACTTTCATATTTTATCGGATATCAGGAATTTGAAATTTGAATTACCGATTTTTGCATATTATCTGCATATAATTTGCATATTAAACAATTAGAGAAGTCATTTATAAATTATAATTATAGTTTTTTAGAATCATTTAATTGATGCAGATTTTTTGGGATTTATTGCGTGTATAGGAATTGAAGGGCATTTACGTAAATGCAGCTGAAGAAAAGAAGCGGGAAAAAACGATTTAGAGGGGTTGGGAGAGTGACACGTGACGATTTTGTACTTATTTATTAGAATAGGGGATTGGAAAGGGTATTTTAGTACAATCATATGTATTTTTTTAAAATATGTTTTCTAATATTAAATGATTTAAACCTAATTAAAATATATATAAGTTTGTACATAAACTTAAGTTTTAAAGTTTGAGATCGAATATATGTAATTTTAAAATTTATAAGGATATAAAAATAATATATAAAATTTATAAGAACTTAAAAATAATATATAAAATTTATAACGATACGAATGAAATTTTCTCTAATTTTTAAGACTGTTTTCATTTTTGTTATTTTAGTGACGAGATCTATCCTTAACAGCCGGTTTTTTTTTTTTTTTTTTTTTTTTTTTTTTGCTAATCTTAATAAATATCTAGCCGTTAAAAAAACAGTTTAACCGTTTTTGTGAGTAGCCCGAAATTAATATCTAAAGTTCTAATAATTTAAAAAGTCAGAAGAAAAATGCCTATACTCGCCAATCAAATTTCATATTAACAGAAGAGCTTGATGGTCTTTCTCATACACTAACAAAAGTAGAAAATAAAGATGAAAATAGAAAAACAAGAAACATCGATAGAAAAGGCATAAAACGCTGTCGTACGAACATAAAAAATACGCTACGAGCCTACGATGCATCTCCCAGCCAAATGGGTGGAGGCTCGTTCAAATCTATACCCAATCCACGTCTCACAATCCCAAAAAACCCCGCCGTTTTCTCATCTGAACTACCCTCCTCCACCGCACGTCCACCGGCTCCTCCACCATTGCCCACCAAAATGGCCGAGCAACAGGCACCACCGTGGTGGCGATCTCTGACCACTCCACTATGAAGCAACTCCAACTCCCTTCCAACCATCACTTGCCGTGTCGGTGGTGCAGCCACCCACCTGATATGCTGGTGGTGGTTATGGTGATTGGACGGAAAGCTATTCAGGTCAAGTGACAAAGATGGCGGAGAAGACGGCGGGGATGGGAAGTTGGTCTTGGCTTTCGGACCACGGAGAGAACGGGCGGCGCCGTCGTAGGCCAAAGCAGCTTCTTCAGGGGTGTCAAACGTCCCTAACCAAACACGGGTTTTCTTCCATGGGTCACGTATCTCCGCCGCGTAACGCCCCCACGGCCTCTTCCTTACGCCCCTATAATGCGCCGGAGACGCCATGAAAGAAAAAAAAATGAGAACTTTTTAGAGAGAGAAAGTGTTAGAAAGGAAAGGTGAAAAGGGGTGGGGTAAGAGGCGGGTATAAAATATATAGGTGGAGAAACATATCTACTTATGCAACAACTGGTTCATCTGTCAATAAATTTGTTTATAATTTTGTTAAGTTTTGTAGATAATTAGTATAAAGGAAACATATATTATTAATAACGTATAGATATAGTATAAGGCAACTTATTCAAAATTTATCGTTTATCCCAAAAATAATAAGATAATTATAAATGAAAGTACAGTATAAAAATAATAAATTGATTACTGTAAATTCCGGCACAAGATATAATAAATTGAGCATTTTGAACAAATTTTTAATCGTCTAACTAGTTTGATTCGTTGATATGTTTTTATTTAGGATTTTTTATTAATCGTTAGAATATGATGCATAAAATATACTTTTATGGGAAAATACAAAATCAACTTTTTATTTCCATAACATTATTTTGATATTTTTAGATAGAAAACGATATTGTTTGTTTATAATTAAATAAAAAGACTTGAGAACTTAAGAACTGAAAAATAATAATTATTTTAGATAATGGACATACTTTTTATTTGCAAAGTAATAACTAAAATATTATATCGATTTAAAAATAAGTTTATAGATATTATTGAAAATGTATGATAATTTAGTGTTTTGTGTGTGAAAAGCGGCAGTGAAGGGACCCACGATGGTCACCCGTAATCGTCGGCTGGACGGCAGACATTCAATGGTTGGAGTGGGGCCAGCTTAGATCTTGGCCGTTGCTTTTCAGACAATGATGTTTATGGTACGTTGATCATGCTTACGTGTGTAAGTGCCTTTGGTTATTTATATGATACGAGTGAAACCAAAGTACTAATCCTAAGTATCCTTAAAACAAACATTGTTTTGTCATTTATGGGCTTAAATGTTTTTCTTTATGTTGTACAGATACATTTACCAAAATCGTGTATTGTCTGACCCTATAATTTAAGGGTAAAACTATTACGTTTAATAAATAACTTTTAGACAAAATTATATAAAGGGTCCCTATGATTTACCAAATGACACAAACTTAGTCCTTCTTAAATTTTTTTGACAAACTTGGTCCCTATGGTTTCCAAAATTTTAATGAATGGTCCTTTTATTCACACCGTTACATTTTATCCGTTAGTATATGGGTAATTTGGTCTTTTTAGTTAGCAAGGATTGGGTTTGTGACCATAAGTAAATCATAGGGACCATTTATGTAATTTTTTCTATAATTTATGTTTAAGAGTTGTGGCTTTTTCACCCTTTTACTTTTTAAAATGTCACCTTGAACTTTATAAAATGTTACTTTCATCCTTCCGTTTTATATATTTTATGTTTATTAGTTTGTAGATTTTCCTTAATAACTTTCGTTTGTTAATCTAAAAAACAATTTTTACCTGGTTAATTTGTTCTATGTGTCGATATCAATTCAAGGCAGTCAACTTTTCGATGTGAATTTAGAACTTTCATTCGTTAATTTTTCTAAAAAAGCTTACTTGTGCTCTTTCGAAAATAAAACTTACTTGTTTTTTTATGCACATGTCGATTTAAATTCGAATTTATCTACGTTTCGACGTAATCTTTTTTTACGTTTTCGTGCTTTATTTTATATATGTTTTCAACGTATGAGTCGAATCACATATAACAACTTTCATTCGTTAAATTAAAAAAAAAAACATATTTTATTCTTGTTTGTCTACGTTTCGACGTAATTTTTTTTTATTTTTATGTTTTCATGATTAATTTTATGTCTGTTTCCTACGTATGAGTCGAGTCGTATATAATAACTTACGTTCGTTAACGAGAAAAAATATGTCGAAACGTAGACAAACTCGAATATAATACGTTTTTTAAGTTCACGAACAAAAGTTATTATACGTGACCGGACTTATACGTAGGCACCGTACATAAAATTAAGCATGAAAATGTAAAAACAAATACATAGAAATGTAAGCAAAATCGAATATAATACATTTTTTTTTAAATTAACGAACAAAAGTTATTATATGTGACCCGAATCATACATAAGAAACTTATAAAATAAAACATGAAAACTTAAAAAAAAATTACGTCGAAACGAAGACAAACTCGAATTTAAACCGACACGTGCATACCGACACGTGCATAAAAAAACAAGTAATTTTTTTTAAATAACAAACAAAAGTTCTAAATTTACGTCAAAACGTTGACCACCTTGATTTTATACCGATAAATATATAAACATAAACACATTAAAAATTAGTTTTTTGTAGGTTAACGAATGAAAATTATTAAGGAAAATTAATATATATATATATAGTACGAGGGTAAACACGAAAGTTTAGAAAGTATAGAGGTGAAAGTAACATTTTACAAATTTCAATGTGAAAGGGGTCAAAGTAACATTTTAAAAAAGTAAATGGATAGAAAAGTCACAAACTCATAAACATAAAATATAGAAAAAATTACATAAATGGTCTCTATAGTGTAATCATGGTCACAAACTCGATCTCTAATACCTAAAAGACCAAATTAACCTCATACTAACGGACAAAAAGTAATGTTGCGAGCAAAAAGGATCATTCATGCAAGTTATGGAAACCACAAAAACTATTTATGTAATTTTATCTAATTTTTATGTAACACCCCGAATTCAGAAGACCAAGAAAGGAAAGGAAAACCCTAAGTCAAGGAGTCAACTCGTCGAGTCCAGGGAGGAACTCGACGAGTAGGAGCGAGTTCTGTGTCGCGGATTAAGTGGCTGACTCGGCGAGTCAGGGGACTGACTCAGCGAGTCTGGTTTGGGTTGGGAAACCCTAATTTCGGGACTTGGTACTGTAACACCAGTCAAAATAGGTCAATAACAATCACATGTGATTATGCCAATCATGTAATGTGATTTTTTTAAACTAGTAATGTGATAA